AGAACCAGTCTCCGAAATGCACGCATTTTTTGAACGAATAGTATACTATAGTACAGCCCGGCTGGCAGCCGAGCAATCGGAGACAAAATTTCCGGCTGTCAGCCGGCGTCAAACGCGCTAATCGGATGTAAAATTAACATAAATGGTAAAAATATTGAACAAGTTAAAAGTACAACCTTCCTCAGTATTATCATTGACGAATGTTTGACCTGGAAAGATCATATAGCTAAGGTAGCAAAGAAAATAATTAGAGCTGCTGGTATAATAGCTACATTTCATAAATCAAAATACTCTAAAACTTATATATTATAAATTAGTCTATCCATATTTGATATACAGCAACTTAACATGTGGTAATACTTATAAAAGTCAAATCCAAAAAATAATGAACATACAAAAAAAAATTGTACGTTTAATGACTTTCAAGTCTTATTTAGAGCACAGTGAGCCAATTCTCAAAGATTTCAAAATCAATGACTATTTAACTGCCTTATTTATATTTCGATACCACCACCTTAACAATTTACCAGATTTCTTTAAAAATTATTTTGTAACAAACAACCAAATTCATGAACATAACACGAGAAATGCATCAAAACTTCACAAATGTTATAAAAGAACAAATTATGTAAAACACACTCTCTCTCAAATAAAGGAGTTGATGTATGGAATTCGTTAGAAATAAAACTTAATGAAGTAAACTCCTATAACACCTTTAAAAAGAAAAGTAAACAACATTTTTTGCTATACAGAATTACCAATATATAAAACATACTTCTCTAATGTATATAATGACATATACTTTAGTCTATTGTAGCCCAGTCATTGACATTGTAAAATTAAATGCATCTACAACATTACTATTAATTTATATAATATGAACATTCCCACTTCTTTTTCTCTCTTGTAAATATAGTATATATACTTCAAAACTTTCTGATTTTACATATTATGTATTGATTGACTTTAAATAATTGATTATGTGATAAAACGAACAGTAACTAGAGACCTAAAATAAAAAGTCTATGAAGATTTCTAGTAGGTCTCTAGCCCAAAATCTTCAAAGTATTGTAATATATTTTAAGTAGATTTTTATACATGGGAAAATAAAAATTAAAAAAAAAAATACCGAAGCTGTTGGCTGTCATACTTAACGAACCCTTGTCTTTCAAGTAGTATAATGTCAATGCAAGCTTAGTTTCGCAAGACAATGCCCTAAAATTTGGCGATAAAGGATTTGGTTTTATGTGAGTGTCTATTTCATTTAGCAAATTATAAAAAAAATCTCTGTCCATTCTAAAAAATTGTTTCCAGCACTCCTTCAGAGAAATACCCATGCGAATATTTTGCCACCACAAGTCAGTTCGACCTGGTTTATACCATGTACTTCGATCTTTCCTTTGCATTCTCCTTATTTGTTTATGTAGCAGCTTCCTTTTTATCTTGGTTTTTCTCCTTGCAAGTACGCCAAATGCCAGAGACAAGGCTCTTGCTTGATTTAATTTCCACAACATAAGAATTCCTTGCAATTTAGTAATAAGTACAGAAAATTGAACAAGGTTGTTTACAATTAATCCAACTACGTAACATAAGTTCAAAGCAGCCATATTTGTTTTTAAAATGTATTTTAAAGTTTTTAAACTTTTCCCGCCTTGCACATCACATCAGTGCTACGTCACTGCCGGAAACTTTACCCGGTAAGCGGGATAACGTTATTATTTGGCTATTCGAAATGTTTTCTTGCTAACCGGGATAACTTTTGCCCATATGAACAGGCCCTAAATACTGCAGGAGTGGCTCAGGCAAATGTCCATAATAGCACTTATATGCTAAAATTAATAACTTTTCAGAATAGATTTCTTTAAGTGTTTTTTTTTTACTTTTGTGTAAATATCTACTGTCGGCATATGCCAGTTCAACCTATAAATGATTCTTGCAGCTTGTAGCTTGTACAGGTATTTTCTCTAATTTGTCAAAAAGTACTGTCCTGCATGATCCCCATATGGTCAAACCGTATGTAACTGAAGGCAATACTACTTTCGCTTGGGTAAGTAGAAAGTGTAAAGATTTTAGAAGGTTGAATTTCTGTGTGAACGACTTTATTACTTCGTTAACATGAGCTTTCCACTTTAGTTTATTGTCAATTTCAACACCAAGACACCTTGATTTTTCAACTTGTCTAATGCATTGGTTTCCCAATTTGATCACTCGTAATGGTCCTGTAAAGTTGCTTCGACTCAGTATCATATATTCAGTTTTTCCTGGATGTGGTGTTAATAAATTTCTATTGCACCAGTTTTGTAACACAAATAGAACTCTATTTAGTGCTAAGCAAACTAAATTGTGGGTTGGTCCAATTACATACAGGGTGGTGTCGTCCGCATACATGGAATTTTCCCCTTCATTGTTTACACAGATGTCTGGTAGATCGTTGCAGAACAATGAAAACAAAATAGGGCCCAGCACTGACCCTTGTGGCACACCACATTTTACTGGCTTTGGCTTACATCCATTTACAATCGTTATTTGAGCTCGATCATTAAAATAATCTGCAATCCAACACCACAAATTTCCTGAGATGCCAAGACCTTGCAATTTTTGTAGCAGTATCGCATGAGATATAGAGTCGAATGCTTTTTTTAAATTGATGAGAAAGAATTAAAAACAGCAAAGGACATTGCCAGCCACAAGCAAAAACAGAATTTGCAAGAAAATAATTTACCTCCTACAGAAAAACGTTTTTTCATGGCAAGTAAGAGAATAACAGAATTATCTCGCATTAATGATAGATGTAACCTCTTGAGTTTAATCTAGAAACGCCATTGTGATTCAATTAGACTTTGCTTGTGATACTCCCATAATCGGTTGTTCTGTTATTGTCTTTATTATTAGCATTATTATTAGCATGACAAAATTACTGGATGCTGATTGGTTGAGAGGAGTACAATTATTTCATTAATTGTACTGCAGTACAATTAATAATTTTCCCAAAACAAACAAAATGGCGGAAACGTATTTTAAACACAAGCGTGAAATGAAATTGCCGTGTTGGAACTAGATGAAAATACGAACAAAAGCACCAAATTTTGCTTTAACAAAAGAACTAAATGAAAATACAAACAAAAGCACCAAATTTTGGTTGAACGTCTGGCAGGACTGGGCTTTGGCAAGAGAATATGATGTTGACATTGAGAAGTACGTATCCAATTTTGTCATGCTAATAATAAACAAGTAATCATGTGATGTTGCTCGTACAATTAAGGATTAATAGTACTCGTGATGTTTGGAAATTTACCAAATTGGACTCGCCCCGGCGGCTCGTCCAATTTTGGCAAAATTTCCAAACATCACTCGTACTATTAATCCCGAATTGTACTCGCCATCGCATGATTACCTATACTAACAAAATTACTGGATGCTGATTGGTCAAGAGGAGTACAATTATTTCATAATTGCACTGCAGTACAATTAATGATTTTCCCAAAACAAACAAAATGGCGGAAGGTATTTTAAACACAATTGCGAAATGAAATTGCTGTGGAGGAACAGGATGAAAATACGAACAAAAGCACCAAATTTTGCTTGAACAAAAGGACTAAATGAAAATACAAACAAAAGAACCAAATTTTGGTTGAAAGTCTGGCAGGACTGGACCTTTGGCAAGAGAATATGATGTTGACATTGAGAAGTACGTATCCAATTTTGTTATGCTAATAATAAACAAGTAATCATGCGATGTTGCTCATACAACAGTCCAATTTGGCAAATTTCCAAACACCACTCGTACTATTAATCCCTAATTGTACTCTCCATTGCATGGTTACCTATACTAATTGTAATTAAGAGGCAAAATAATTTACGTTTGTTTGAATGCAGTGAATTGATGACTTGTGTTGTAGGAACATGGTTCAAAGTGCAAATTCCCTAACAAAAAAGTCTATAGGCCTGGCCTATAGGCCAACCTATAGGTTTCTATAGGAAACCTATAGGAAACCTATAGGCAATTGGAACATTTTCTATAGGTGACCTATAGGGATGCTTATAAGCCTATATATAGAGCTCTATAGGTGCCTAAACGCTTCTATAGGGACTTGGAACATTCCCTATAGGAACCTATAGGCCACCTATAGACTTTTTTCATCAGGGTAAAAGAGCCTGAGAATGTCCTATCACTAAAAAGGAGCTGTTAACTACAGACAATATGGAAAGCATCCCGTGAATGAAAAGAGAAAACCGAAAAATGTTAAAGAACCTATTAACTAACTTTTTGCCACTACTCTAAAATAAAAAAAAAAGATTTTTGTGGCATAATCACTTTAAGCGTGTCAAGAAGTTTAGGTTTATAATGCGTATTGTAATTAAAATTCACTTTGTAACATAGGTATCACCATTAGTCAATGCAATAAAAAACAATGTTGGGTTCGCTTGCAATACACTCGGGTGTTCAGTTATTGTCTTACTTGTCTTTAAGAGGCAAGATAATTTATGTTTGTTGGAACGCAGTGAGTTAGAACGTAATTAATAATTTTATAGACTTGTTTTAAATTTTGAGCTTATCAAGCTTATCCACTGTTTAGGCTAAAGTGATCAGAGTCTGTCTTGCTAATGCTTGCTCCGACAACATTCTTAATTAGTGAATCACCAGCAATTACCACCACTTCTTTGGCTTTATTCTTGCTCATGGTAGCTGCAACATCGTCATTCACTTTTTCCATACCGCTGGTAGAGGCAGCATGTTCTTGACAATGTGGGGAAGCATTTTTCTCTGCCAATTCAATGCCCTCCTTGGCCTTCATTTTCTTTCTCTGACTCTTTCTCTGCTTTTTAGACACTTCAAGGGCGGGTTCTTTCAATACTTGACTTTCAAGACTTGTTTTGTAAGCATTTCAACAGTTTTGATTAAACTAGAGTTGTCGTTTTGCAGGCGGTTAATTTGCATATACTCGCTTGACTTCACCGACTTCTTGAGACAAACTATTTCCTTCAGTTGATTAATTTCTTCGCTCTGCTTGATACAAGAGGCACAGCAGGAAATTCTACTCATTGCTCGGGATTTAGTGCGGGTGGTTTCAAAATCCAGTGGATTCTGGTGGGCAATGTCACTGATAATAGGCACGCTTTGTCCAAGCACATTAAGCGGGTATTCAGATCGTTAGGGTTTATCACCTTGACCATGTCAAGTTTAGAATTTGTCGCTTCATCTGATTCATGTATATTAAGGCTTTCACTTAAATTCTCTTCATTGTTTTTCCTACACGATATGTTGCGCACTTCTAATAGGGAGGTATATAATCTTAGCGTTTCATCAGAACTATCTTTGCTCGCTTCTGTGAGGGTCTTGAAGGGGTCCCAATCCCATTTCCCAGCTAAAATTTTGGCAAAATCCCAGTCCCAGTTGGACTTTTATTAGAAATCCCAGTCCGAGTTATTGAAATCCCAGTCAATAAAAAACCCTTTATTTATCAGTACAATAAACAGTTTTAAGATTTTTAAGCCATCGTGTGTGCAAGTGGCACACACTTTATAAAATTTGGGGTGGTGGGTTGTGCCAAAGGCACGGAAAATTTTAAAATTTGAATCCCGGAAATGGCATTTGCAGCATTCTGAGACACGCATAATCAGAAAACCCAGAATTCCGGGTGCCAGAGTATGCTTGTTTGCAGTTAGTGCTGTGAATAATATAGTTAACAACAAAAATCATGACCAAAGACACCAAAAACGGACCAAAATTGTATTTTAAAATACTTAAAACGTAGAAAAATTGGGAATCGACTCGCATTACCTCAATCCCATTCCCATTTTTGAGGACTTCATTTCCCATTCCCAGTGGCCAAATCCCAGTCCCAGCAACCCAAATCCCATTTTCCCAGTCTAAAAATAGATCAATCCCAGTTCCCATTTTACCCCTTCAGGACCCTCTTCTGTCATAAAGCATTTAATCGATTTGTTCTGGTCAGTATGTCGGACAGTTTTCAGTTCATCTGCTTTTAGAATGAACACATTGAATTCGTTCAGTTAAATCTTTAGCTTTATTTCCATCAAATTGTATGGTTTTGCTTGTCATGTACCATGCAGCTTTGAGTTGTTCGCTATCGAAGCACCATGTTCCTGTACAAGGTGATCACCATGTTGTACTTTCAGCTGTGCTTTCATCGATTTCAGTAAGGACGAATGCCTTGAGTGTCCCCAACCATGTCAATTTGTTCTTCTCGAGGCCAAAAAAGCCATATAGAACATCAGTAACAGGCGATGTGTTCATGTTAAAACTGATTTCGACAGGAGCTCAAAATAATACGTCTTACGTCTACACGTAATATAATACAAGTGAAACACATTGCTAATCAAATATATATTAACTATTTTATATGTGTATGCCTTTATATGTGTACATTGAGGAACAGTTACCGTTAACTCTTTTTCGCCACAGCCCAGTCGCATTGATCCTTTAAGATCGACAGCGAGACATTTCATATCTTCGGTTCTGTGCATGCTATGAAGACAGAAATACCACCATTCGATTCAGAAATAGAAGATTTAACTCTTTTCTCTGTATAGTTTTACTCATTATCAACATTGTAGAGATTTATGAGCCTTCGAAGTCAAACATGATCATATTGTATCAAATTATGCAATTGTCTGAACAAAAATATAAGCTAGCCATACCTTTCACCGAAAAGAACTTCGGCCCCTTCGAACATATCGTCTTTGTAATGGTCTTGTTCGAATCCCCATCAAAAACACTATTTAGAGCGTTATTTGCAAGCCTGTATCTTCAAAGCTGTATCTTTTATCAATATATTTCCATTTCTTGTCCGACTGTGAGCTCGAAGTGAGTTAATCCCAACTGGAAATATGTCTGGAAATATGTCTGAAAACTGTCAAAACAATGCGACGCTTTTATCGTATGACCTTGCAAAGGCCAGAAATGGATTCGCGAGGTCAAATTACCCCACACACGTAAGTTTTATGTCATCCCGGCCACAGGAGCTTCTTATTGGCCAATTATTACACAATTTACGCGCGTGCAAGTAAAACCCGACATGTTGAAAAGGATTACAATGGTGGCTTTTATTTGAAAGGGGGGTAAATACTCGCCGAGATATTGGGGTAAATACTCGCCGAGATATTTATATTAGAAAATGGTATTCGTAATATGATGCGAAAGGGGGTGGTCGAGAAAGAGTTAATCGCGTATGGTGATTCGTTTTCTGTTAGTTTTCTAACCTCTTCGTTACTTAAAATCAATTGAGTATATTTGTCGAGTACCCATGTCGGGGGGCTTGAATTCTGTTGTAATTCCAAAAATCGGGAGAAAAAACCTTTTTTATACAATGCATTTCTGGTCTAATTAACGACTATAGAATATGATGCAGTATGTGCCTTACCCCTCGTTCCCAGAACAAGGTTGACAGTGCCTTTCCTTTGGCCTATATGCAAAGTGTATCTGTAAAAAATAAAACTGCTTTTTATCTTTACTGTTATTATGTTTATGTTGTTCTAACTGCCACAGTTTTTGCTCAGTTACCATTGAGCATTAGTAAGCATGTACATGTGACAAAAAAATGGGATGAAAACACCTGTATCAAATAGTAGTCCCGAAGTTAATATAAAAGAGTTCAAACTTATGGTTATGGTAATATCGTGTTGTTGATATCATATATAAATATACACCGTGACTGGAATTAATATCCTGTCGTCTGCTGACTTTTCATATTTTAGGATTGTCGGTAAGAAATCTTTATTGGACGAAATCCAGAGGAGATCCGAACCGAGTTTGTTGCCAATTGTGTATTGGTCACACATGTCCCGGCAAGTTATGTAGACACTGTCTAACCTATTTTTTAATATTAAAAATATGAACATATAGGGTAGTAAATTCAAATTTGTGCTTTTCCTGAATAATTCTTACATTATTTTATTGTTTGTTAATTTTACAACTTTACCATATTTTGCATGCACTGGAGAACATTTGGTGAAAATTTGATGAAATTCGGACTGATATTGAGCGCGCAGTAGCGATTTTCTGCAAAACTCCAAAAGGGGTGTCCTGTAACCTTAACATGATCAGTACTCAGTAGAGGTACTGAATGCGAAAGGTCATTGGGTTTGAACATGCTCATTGGTTTAGTACTACTGTATAGGGATGTGCCGGATACCGGATAGTAGTCAACCAGATACTGGACAGGAGAAAATCATACCCGGATAACGGGTATTAACTGGATACCGGATATTTCCCACAAGATAATTAAAGTAGACAAAATATAACATTTTTATTGGTTAGCTCCAATTAATGTGTTCAAAACTTCAATATAAAAAATATAAACTAAAATGTTTTGTCCATGTGGTCTACATGTATTTATCTTTACAAACTACCAAGGCCATATCTTATGATTTACTTTGAGTTGTGTAAGTTGTTCCAAGTGTTCCCCAGTTAGTCTTGTTCTGTTTGGAGTATCAATTAGACCAGAATTTGAAAACAGCCTTTCAGAATACACTGAGCCTGGGTATTTGGTGGCAATTTGAGTGGCAGTTTGGCCCATGATGTTTTCTTAATTTGCCAATATTGAAAGGGGTCAGAGCCATCTCCTCTTAATAGAATTACTTCTTCTGCACAATACATACTCAAGTCAACCTCCATTGACCCTGTGCTACTGTTACAGCCAGTTTCATTATCTCCATGACTTTCATCATATCTAACATCAGGACGCCCATGCTTCTTCATTCTTTCTGTCATTCTTTCCCAGATTGTGGGCTTCTTTTGTTCATGCTGTATTTGAACTGGCTCTTGACATTCTATTTCTGGATTTAATGACTCATTGGCATATTGAATATTTAAAACTTTATCTTTTGCTTTCTGACATACTTGAATGGAGCTGATCTTTGTACCTGGGATCTAAGAGGGTAGCTACTAGAAGGAGGGGACTGTCTTCAATACCCCCAAACCTCTCATCAAGTGAATTTAGAATTTCTTGCTTAACAGTGCCAACACCATTATCCTCTAAATCTTCGAGAGTTGATTTTAGTACATCAATGATTGGAATAACCCAGTGACACTGTGACATGACTGCCCGGGTGACCTATATAGAGAGCAATTTAAAACAGACAAGCTACTAAAACCTTTGTACTAACCAAAAAAGTGAACATTGTTTTAAAGGGTCCATAAAAAGTAAGTAATCACTAACAACCTAAGTACCTCACATCTCTTCAAAAGTGCTGAAAATTGTTGTCATTGCCATGGCCAACTTCCAGTCATTCTCACTAAGTGGTCTGAAAGAGGTATCATTATCTTATAAGTACTGTCAGATGGCAGGACGTTTTTCAATGAAACGCTTGTGTTACCATTGTTAGGTTCGTTGATGCCAATAACACAGGAATTAACTCCAAAGGTCTTTATTTAATAGTGTATAAAACACTTAGTATACAACTTATATATCTGACTTCGTTATATCTTCTAATCCTCGCTGACCGTAAACCGTTTTCTATATTGCGCCACACATGTGCGCTTTATCAATCAACGCGTAAACGTCATTCAATGTCCGGTAAAAGCTAATTGCTCTTATTAATTAAGTCCTGACATACTAACACTTGAACATGTAATAGGTAGAGTTCCATCGTGTTTCAACGTCTTGAATCAATTTATGTTGGGGTAGATTTAATGAAGCTTGTATGCAATGGAGTTCTTCTGTTGCTTTTCCAGATCTGTGAAAGAAGCCAACTATCTTACGAATCTGATGAACCACATCTTTGGTCGCACGCTGATGTTCATACACTTTAACTAAGCAGAGCTGCTCACTTTAAGCAGTGTACTCACCGATAAACATGGCTCGGGCCATGTTGGAGGCATTGTCTCTAAGGATAACGAACACTTTTGTTGATATTCCATACTCAGTGAATACTGTTTTCAGGTGTGTATCAATATTTTCACCGGTATGACTGCCAGTCATCGACCAAACTGCAAGACACCTGATCTTCAACTTTCCATTTGCTTTGCTAGCCCACTGTCCAGTGACACTAATGTAACTCCCCAAGTTTCTGCTTGACCAGATAACCATAGTCACATTAACATAGTCAGCATTTTCATCCAGCTCTTTCTTGATCTGGAGCACCTGAAGTTTATATGCTTCAACAATAGTTTCAGTGACTTTGCGCAGAGTAGGCATTCTATACCTAGAAAATGCAATTTTTTATTATTGTTGTATTTTAATATAAATGCAAAAGCCATCATCACTCTGTTTACAAACTGGCAGAATTTAAAAATATTTATTATTCAATCAATAACTGTGCCAGAAATTGGCACAAACTTTTTGCACTTTCAAAGTTAAGTGGAATAACAGAATGTTATATCAAAGTTCTATTTTTAGAGCTGTACTAATAACCTTACCTAGGCTTGGGTACTTTCATGAGAGTTGTGAAGCCTTCATCAGTCACAATAGAGAATGGCTGGCAGTCTAGAGCCATCATCTTTGCAATTGAACGAGTTATACCTACATATTGCAAACTATCTTAAGAGTAGGTTCGTCCAGGATCTCTTGGATACATTGTTTCATTGGTGGCTGATTCTTAGAATGTGTTTCATCATTTGATTTCCTCTCTACTGCTTTGCTAAGCTCATTTGCATGTTTACTTTTAAGTGATTGTGCAACGATGTGGAAGAGCCCTTTTCAATAGATATTCCTCGTTTTATATGCTTGTTACATTTTGTACATATTGCGTATGTCTTTTCTGCGGGGTCTTCGTTAAAAAATATCCATACAATTGATGATTTCTTTTTTGTTTGTACAAGAATATAACAATACGAAAGTATGAAACAGTCTGTTGCTATAAAATTCAGACAGAACCACACGTGATTTGCAATAGCCAATCGTGTTTAGGCCGCTTCACAATGATTGGCTAAGCTAAACGGAAGCAGTAAACATGTTTTGTTTTGCCGTGGTTTTGCATATAAAGCATCTAGTCTTTTGTCTTCAGGTTTCTTGGTTTGTTAATTGTGTTCCTTGTTTTGTGGCCATGGAAAACATATACTGTAATTGCTTGTGTTTCACACTTCATCGCCCACAAAGGCAAACCTTCTGTCTTGTGGTTGTGAAAAAATTTAGCATTATTGGGTAAATATCTGATTTTATCGGATACCGGTATCCGGATCCCGCACATCCCTATACCTGTATCTGTCTGCATCTAGTGCCACACAGGTATAACTAACATATACATGGGACACGACTCACAAACTGACTGGCCCCTGGGGGGTTGTATAGCACCTTTCAAAATCCCGTAGTATATCATCTGATCAACTTTTTTCTCCAGAACACTGACACAGCTGTTAATGTATGATTCAGGATTGCCAGCTTTATCTGATATACAAACTCTCACCTTCGGCTCGAGTTTGTCTATCAGATAAAGATTGACTGCTCACACTTAGAAAGCTAGCACAAGCAAGCGACGTTTTCATCAACACGAACGTTATCATGCATATACTTGCACAACTCGACAGCAGGCCACCATACATCAGCAGTTCTTATAATGTATATAGATATTATATATAATATAATTAAACATTAGGAATATTATAGAACTCCATTATTAACACAAACTAATTTATTAACACTGCGCACCGTATATGGTTAATAATCTGATGCGAGCGATGTTTAAGTACGCTTAAGTTTGAAGAGCTAGTATATGCAATGCAAGCCACCAAGAATTCTCAACTCTTGAAATGCGCTCGTTTTTTTGGTTAAGATTTGATTATGCACAAAATCCAAGAGTGCAATTCAACAGTATACATAGTGTATAAAGATATTTCTGTAACTGTACCTCATGGGGATGTTTAAAACGTGGGTAGAGCTCCAATATTATGCGTGGCTTCTCATCTTTCGCAGTTTCTTGAATCAATTGCCTCCTAGAAGCAAACTCTAGATTCAGGTATTTGTTAATCACCAATGGGTTAGGTTTACCCTTCTTTTGTTCTTTCTCTAATGCACTGTAATTACTTACAGAAACACCTGTGTCTTCATTAGATCCTTCTGTGGTGTCGGTTGACGATGTTTCACTCTCTGACTCTTTTTTCAAAGGTGGATGGCAATGGATTAGCAATTCACGTTGAATGTTCTGTGTTTTCTGTGTGTTCTGCATGTTCTGCAGTTCAAGAGAAAATGCAGCAGGCCTTAAAATATCCTTTACAGGTTGTCTGACAAAATGTGTGATGATAGTGAGTTTGGGTCGGACATATGTATGATGATGCTCGATGTGCTTCAGTTCATGACATTGTCTGAATGACACAAATTAATATCAGCACAATGTATTAACTCTGAATGGTAAATTTTGTGAAGATATTAAATAATTTGGATTATTCATACTTATTTCCAAGTCAAGTAAGTTTTCGATTTGATCACGTTTGAAATGCCTATAATTACTTTGACACAATAGATTTCATTAACTTACCAAGTTCAGGCATGCCAAGTTTAGCACGCTTATTTGATCTTGATTGAGCAGGCACTTCCCCTTGTCTTTTTTAGCTGGGACAACATTGCTAAAACGCTTTTTTTATTTTGGACAGCACAAATTAAATACTACCTTTAGCTATCTCAGTATATAATCTTCAAACTTTACAGTGGGCTGGAGTCGCTAGCAGTGATAGATAGACTTTGCACGGTGGGCAAAAAAAGACAGCAAATTCGGCTGCATTTGTTTATCATATTTCACTATATGATTTTCAACTTGACTGAAAATTGAAAAAATAGAGGATGCGTAGCCAGATGATTGAATCACAACCATATTTTGGCCTCGAAAGACGAAAAACTGAGAATCGGTTACACCATATTTTATCTTAGTATATTAAATTATTTTGAATGGTTAATTAAAAAAGATCTGTTGACCCCAAAATTTTCCAAATTTGGTAAATGTAGTAATATTTTGCACCTGTTCCAATATTGTGTAACAATCCACGATTGTGATGTTTAATTAAGAAAGAATACCATGCATTTTAACTCCAAATTTATGATCCACCCTAATAAAACTTCATTGTTTCCAAACAACCGGAGGTTACGTAAAATTTGTGTAGAAAACATTAAATGTTGTTTTGTATAAGTAAGATACGCTTTTCAACAAGTAATAATTGTCCAAGAATAGGAATCTAAATCGGAAATTTTTAAAAAAGACAGTATCGAGCCACCTTATATTAAGCAACCTATTAGATTGACCTAATTGAAATCTTTAGAATACAGCGAGACTAACACGAGAAAAACTGCTCTGCATTGCCTCCACGCATTTTTCACAAATCTAGTCCAAACTCCCTAATATAGAGGCGATGAACTGGTGTCAGCATATGGTGGGCAGTGTTTCAGAAAGTATAACATGTAGGTGCCAAAAAGAGGATTGGGATAACCCGGAGATAAAGGTGTATGGTGGACGTTGCTAGTTTGTTGCGCCTGTCGACTGGTTGAGGCTGTGTGGCAAAACATTTGCTGATTAATGTATGAATCTTGGATTTGCTGGTGTGGCACCTGTCGTCGTCATCGTCGTCGCTGTTTTTGCTATTGTTGCTGCTGTCGTGGTTGTTGCTGTTGTTGCTGCTGTTTTTGTTGTGAGCTTTCTATGTTAAGCCGGTCCACGATAACAGTTGGTTCTTGGACGTCTTTACCTCGTCTACCTCCTTTCCGCCTACTTGTTGTAGGTTTGTTTACTTTTCTCCCAACGCCTTATTGGAGTCAAATGTCACCAACGTAGTCAAATTCAAAGGATTGTCACGCCGTCTTAACCAGTCTAAATATTTATCAAGCTTTCCTAACTTTTCTGCCACAGCTACGGCATGTCCGTAGAATCTTGAAGACGTCCAACCCAGACAGTTTTCGCAAGTTGTTTTGCCACTTTGTCGCGTTAAAACGTAATGAAGTCTTTTTGACATTTGGCTTGCTACCATAAAGGCCATTTCATTGCTTCCTGGTGCAGAAACAATTGTATTTTCTTTCGACAGCAGTGATTGAGCCTTGTTAAAAACGTGTTTGACTTGTTGCAGAGGAACAGTGGTTAAATTCGCTTCTTCTGCTGTAAATGAAAGACTAGTAATGAATTGTTGTTCTTCCTGCTGTTCCTGAATATCATCTTGAGTTTGCCACGTCTTATCAAATTTATTTTCGTGGGCAGTACGTTGGGTGGAAGACATAGAAAACCACTTTTCCTTTGTCAGCTGGAGATGCGTGTAATCATCAATCAACTTGTAAGGGCCATTATTTAATAATACCCCTCTAACATCTTCTCTCTGTCGTTTAATTAGCTGTGCTAGTTTTAAAGCAAAGCTAGCCATCTCGCTCTCCTGAAAGTTTACTGCCCGTTTAATGACGGCGTTTGCCGACTCTGGCATGTTGGTATAGAATGGCGTTGGTGGGTTTCCTAATCCTGCGTTCATTCGGACTTCGGTCAGCATACGTTCGACGATCATATTTGCCTGGTATAAAATAAATATGCATACATATAAGACAGAACGATGTTTCAGTTTTCTGTCTACAATGTACTTATTAAAATTAAATTAATAGCGCACATTGATAGTGTAGGAATATTTCAACATTGTACGTCACCGCAACAGTCTCGGCTAATAATTAGGTTAAGCAACATGACAAAGAAAACTTAATGACAATCAACAAAATATTGAATTATAGCTTCCACAGGAAATTCAACTTTTGCAGTCTTCAAAAACAAGCCATTGATTCGAAGTTCATTTAAAATTTAAATTTCGACTTAAGTTCAGTAATACTATAACATATAAGAAGTGTTCATACCTTTTCATAAACAAAAGTAGAAAAAGATGGACTTTGGTTGGGGCTGATGAACTGTCTTTCTCTCTCATCCCACACCACTTTCAGGGAATCGAGCTTTCTGTACAATTCATCTTTGCTGTCGGAGTCAACCAGTCCTAAAATCACAGACATAAATTATAAATGCCTACTATTAATAACATTTTATTCGAAAAATTCGTTTAAAAAGTACGTATTAAGAGAGAATAAATTGTTTTTTTTCGCTAATTTTTGACGCATGGATGTTGCTCTGAGTCTTTGTGGTTACTTGAGTGTGGGGTGAGTGTGGGGCAGTTTGATTAAACAATGGAAATGACCAGCTTGCTTTGCGCACTGTTTGCCTGTGAAACGGGCCTTTCAGAACCGGAAATTGGGCTGGAGCACGCATTCGTTCTTTTGATTTGGCAAATGAAGTATGAAAAATGGGTGAAATGGCAAAATTCACACGGTGCTCGGTTTGCAAAAACAACTGCAAATTGCTATAGATAATTATTTTTATCACTTTCATTTGATGTTATCTGTGAGTCCGGCCTCCTTTGATTAAGGCTGCGTTTACACTATGTCGGATAGGTGTTTTTCACGTCGCTACGGAAAGCTATCCAGTACAGTGTAAACGTGGCCTAAACATTGGGTCAGTCTTCATAACAAGAACAATCTTAGTTTTAGATAACATTTTGATTACGTCTGTTGCTCAGTGTTATAAAAAGTTACCAGGAATTTGGATGGTTTAACCTAATTTAAGAAATAACGATAATAGTCCCATGTACGGCTCCGAATGCATGATCACATGCAAGCAGGTTATTCATACAGGCATAACTGGATGACAGACATTTCTGTTTTTTTGGTAGGGGGAGGGGGCAGGTTAAAGCTACTTTTATGTAGGCCTTGTACTGAGTTTGCATTTTTTAAATTTTTCCTTTTATTTTGCCAATACGTACGAACATGTTTTTATCTCGTTTAATTACATTTATCTATTGAAATTCCGGCACGTGACTCCGAAGGCTATGTATCAGTTGCAAATACTATTGTGTCAAAATGGGAATTTGATAAAAGAAGGTCTCGCCAATTTGGTAGTACACTGTACCTTTTTCAAATATTTCTCCCTGTCGATTTCCAAACACATCATGCATAAACGTCTTCTGAACTGCCTCTGAAACATTTGATTCTCTTTGTTTTGCAGTTATCGCGAAAATGACCAAAACAGCGCAGATGAATTGCATGATTCATACTATTCTTCATGGCATCAATCAATGCTTCCTCTCCATCAGTTCCTATTCCAAGAAGATTTTTTAAGTTTTTATTCAGGGCGGTTAACTTTCCGAAGAAATAGTTGTAAGTCTCCGATGTTTTTGACTGGCTTATAAGAAAAGGTCCTATCATGAGAGGGTGATGGTCATCCCTGCGGGTCACAACTTTCAAATGCCGGTATGTTGTAACAGTAAGATTAAAATTTCCTAAATTGAACGTTGGGTCAGCGGCAAAAATCGTGAAATTACGCGGATCTGTGCAAAACTGTTCGATTTCTTTAAGCTGCCAGTCAAAACCAAGAACACAACGAAGTTCGGGAGCTGCGTTAACATCTCTTATGAAAGGATCTTCTCCTAGACTCATCTGCTGTCTTTTGCACTCCTGCAGAAGAATAGCAAGAGAATCAACATTTTTCAGGTTCCGTTTTGAGTTCGACAATCTCGATCTGCAGTTTTTAGCCTGGTCATGGTTGCGCAGTAAATCACTAGCAGCTGCTGCTTGTAAATAACCGCTGTTCTCTTCGCTCACGAGATGAAATGTTTCTTTTGGGCCAGAGATATCAGACACTGCTTGCACACGTTTCAGGACACTAGGTTTTGTTCTTATATACGCAGATGCCTGCGTCTGCCGAGTATTCCATCAGGAGCTGGCATAACTGTGTGTTTATCTCCATCAAACAGATATTGTATCATAAGGCATTAAGAAAATTAATATATAATTAATCGCATAGAAAAGTTTTAATCATACTCATGATTCCATATTATCTTGTACCATCTTAAGTAGTGTAAATTAGAAATAAATGCATGCAGCAATATAACACAATTTCAAACCAGGCATCTATGTTTAAACATATTATATATTTCACTGATATTACACGAGGCAGTTTTTGCTACAACTATTCGCGTTTGGAACCATGTTACCTAAAGCGCACAAACACACCATCACTTATTTCCTATACAATCTTCCAGATCTTAGAATATATTATTGGGGGGTTGGGATAGGAAATAGGGCACATTTCAATACCTTCCAATAGATGCTATACTTGTCACTGTAAAATGCAGAAGCAAACCTCTTAGTGACTTATAGCAACCATTAAATATCGCGAGGGGGGCATACCAACAAACCTGAAAGAAGCAGGCTCCCGTGTATGTTAGTCTATGCTTGGATCGCCGCTGCTCGGTGCGATGCGTCGGCGTAAAAATATAAAACGTACACTGTTACAAAGATAACATATGTATGCGTAAGAAGTTCACTATTGACTAAAAAATGTGTGACTTGCCTTCTATATAAGACACAAATTTTCTCAGATCTGGAGAAGTTTTATTCTTATAATAAATACACACTAGCGTGTACATGGTTGTATTATCCACATCTCCTTGCGCTGCTGCTTCAATATTGCCGTCTTTATGAGAAAATGTATTTTTCTTCACCCCGTTGTTTTTCCACGCTCCCATATCGTCACACTTCCAATCATCCCATTATGCAATACGTTGGTGGGTATCACTTGACATATTCTTTCTGGCGGACACGGTTTCAAAAGAGCTTTAACTTTCGTTATCATCGAAGAAATATCTGTTCCTGCATTGTAGATCGGAAGCGAAAGGTCATGTCTGTAGTATCCTCGGAAGACTCTAATAGAAGCAAAAATATAAATCTATGTAAGGAAGTATTAGACTGACGATCGCATAGTGTATATAACAGTGTTAGTTATAGAGTAAATATAATATGCGGACCAACTCTTTGTTGTCGTAACTGCTGGTTTCAAGTAAGACCATCTCTATTTCCACTCGAAAGCTAATATTTTACAAAAGATAGCACCAAACCAATACAGCCATTTGCAGTTGCATTGGGCATACAGATGAGTAAAGTTTGAGAACATCCGGTTTGACTTAATTTAATTAAGAATCTATCGAAGTTTCAAATTCTCGATCTGTCCGTGTTGATACTAAATTACTTATCATTCAAATCTCTCTCAAAATTTGCAAAGATAGAACGTAGTCATGGCTCCTAGCTTGTTTAATGGTTAGATTAGTCAGTTTACGAGCGGGCGGAGTTGGTCCTTGAACGGTGGGCCGAGTTGGTTAGTGGGCCGAGTTGACTGTAAAGCAGAGACACAAAAATAGTTCAGCATACCCATTTAATTTGATCTAACGTCATTATATCATTTCAACCACTCGCCGAATAACAAGAACACTAACAAGAGAACTGAAAAATTTTCTATACATACTCTTCATCGCTTTCGCTGTAATCTGAGCCGCTTTCTGATGCTGAACTTAATTAACGCCGGTATTCTCTACTTTCTTGCGCTTCACATAAACGCTCTGTGTTGAATCGGTCTGTAAGAAATGTATTCTATATTATTAACACGTACGTATATATCAAGAAGGTAGTCATAAAGTAATGAGGGATTATTTATGTACATAATCTTCATAGTTTCAGCTGGCCCAAAAATGTCGGGCTGCCAGCTGCATTTTATAGTCACAGCTGAGTCTAGCTAGCCGACAACTTCTAAATTAACAACAACGAGTTTTCTTCTTAATCCATTCATATATACAATAAATTTATAGATTTTAAATTAAAAACGATGCTGTCTTGACATAAAAAATATCACGTTAATCATTCTGGCGGCCATGAATTTCTGGTAGCCAACAAGGGGGAATTTCGTTCTCGACCAATCAGCGCTTTTGTTTACATTTTTGCCCTAAGCCAATCAGAATAAAAATTTTAAAATTGTGTTGTTATAAATGGGCTAAAGAAACACATCAAATATTTGGACTATGGACCTTCAAACTTATGCCAAGTATTTATTTAATTGATTAGCTCAATAACTGTTTTTTGGCTCGTTTTTCGTCGATTTTGACATTTTGTCGACTTCAGAATAATGTGTCAACATTGCGTGTTGCAGCCTGTGGACTAGTCCAGTCCCAGACCCTATTCTCGCCACACGGCGCGGCGGAGAAGGAGGGTCCAGAAGAATTTGCATGCGCATGCGTCAACTACCACCACACATATGTGGAGGTCGCCAGGTCGCTAAGCTCTGTTTACTGTGGGGAAAA